ATTAAATTTCAAATGATATATGCCTTTGCTTGTCAAAATCAAACATTTCCTTATCCTTTAATGATTAAAGTACATAATCCACAGAATTCAACGTAGAAAACGCACAGAGCTGATCCGGCATTAGAAAGTTAAAATTCGGTTTAGTTAAATATTGACCTAAACTCCAAATTAATTTATCCAACACATTAATGCAACATAATATTTTCAAATTTGATTGAGTCTGAACGATCTTATCAGTAGATACCAACATAAAATAATTTATATTTCATAATTTATCCAATAATAAAAACATTTCTACAACCCATATAATAATACTACTAAAGTCTTTAAAACAAGTATTTTTAATTTCTATATACTTATCACCATTACACCTACAAAAACCAAAATTAACTAATTGTAGTCTAAATTATACAAACTCATAACAAGCATATTAAACGAACCAGAATAAACTTTTATCTCGTGATTTACGAATAGTGATGAATTAAATCATTGATTTATCTCGTGATTTACGATTAGTTGACGCCATTTTTTACCTCCTCTCGTGCAATTGAAATTTAGAAGTCCAAAATTGATATAGGTAGCAATCTTACAAGTCCAGAATTTAGCAAAAATCATGACCACACGTTTAAAGGTGGTCCCCACGTGGATAGATCTGCACGAGTGAGATGGACGAACGAGACGCAGCACCAAAGCCTTAATTTTCGACTTTTTTATTATTATTAGCTGAGTGGTGAGAAAATTATCAAGTCCAAGTTTGATCTTTAAAAAAGAGAGGGAAGGAGAGGAGTGTTTATTAAACTTCATTTTCTTTAAATTAACGAATCGGCCAAGACAGTCAATTTCAATATTTGACTTTTTATGCACCAATCAATTAAATCCTATTCAGTTCATTAGCCTGTAGGCTACTGAATCTAGAGTCAAGTTACTTAAGGTTGTGATTGGATATGAACTTAGACTAATAAAAAATTAATTAAAATTCAATTTTAGTTCAATTTTACTACCCTTAATATTATCAATATAATTAAACAATATCAACCAATTTTTCTTACACATCACATCAACTTTAATTCAGTATTCATCCACTCACATAATTTTAATTTTTAACTAACCAACACTTTCAATCATTTTTCTCATACTTTACATCATATCGATTTTATTTATTTTATTTTAAATATTATTTTAATTGAAACTTAAATTCTCACTAACAACTAATTATACCACATTTTTTAAAATTAACTAACAAAAAATCAATGACAGTCAAATCTATATTCAATCACACGTGTGATTGGATATAAACTTGATAATTCGTCAATCAACTCAGGCGCTTTTAAGCCCAAGTGCAATTGATCGTAGGGCTGAAAGCAGACAGCCCTTCCTTCCTGCTAGTCATGATCCGAATAGAATAGGTCTTATTAGTGCAGAAAGAAGCGAGTGAGCGGCAAATGATCCAATATCGGACCGAGCAGTGGTAGGGAAAGAAGCTGGTATAGTCGAAGTGGGAAACGTCATGCTTGCTTTTGGTACTCCGGAAAAACACATTTCTGTACATTCAATGTACTCTACTCTACGGATAGAGGAATACATAGAGTGACGGCTTGGGTGACCGTTAACTTGAAGCGGGCGAGCTTACTAAGTGTTGGCCCAACGAACGAAGCGAAGCGAAGTGAAGTCTGTAAACTCGTGCAGGCAGGGGTTCGCTTTAACACTATCATTAAAAATCAATAAAAAAGATTTAAATTTAACTCAACTTTAACTCAATTCCAATATCCTCAATATTATAAGTATAATTAAATAGTATCAACCGGTCATTCTTACATGTCACATCAACTTTAGTTCACTATTCATTCTCTCACATAATTTTAACTAACCATCACTTTTAATTATTTTTCTTCTACTTTAACTTCAAATCAACTTTAATTATTCTATTTTAAACTTAAATTCCCACTAACAACTAATCATACCAAGATTTTCAAAATCGACTATGGTTAACAAAAAATCAATCAAATTCATATTCAGTCACACCGTTTAGAGTATGTTTTCAAATAAAAAAATAAATTTCAACTCAAAATTTAACTCAACTTCAATTCAACCTCACTATCCTCAATATTATCAATATAATTAAATAATATAAATCAATCATTCTTACACATAATATCGACTTTAATTAGTACATAGCCCGTGACAAGGAAAAATAACGACAAATCATATAAATTAAGCAGAGAAGGAATATCTATTTGTATAAAAATAGTTTTGAGCATTAATTTTTTTATTTTTTATGACTTAAAATATTTTAATAAAAGATTTAATATGAGTATTTCACTCGTTATAAAATAGTTGTAATTTAAAGTCGTGTTTAAAAATTAAGGAACATGAAAATTCTAACATATTCAAATATTATCAAATAAGTCCTATTCATAAAAATACTTCTACATTTCTCTTCCCTTACTCATACATTGATATAGTATACTATATGACTAGATCATCTCTGGATATGAATTCAACATAAAATTTATTATTCATGCGTGGTGAATAGGTTTAAAACAACAGTGAGATTAAAGTCGATATGCGAATCATTTACACTCAAGACCTTGGGTGTGTGATGCAACATGTTTAGGACCACATATTTGGATTGGAAGTGACTTTAATTATGTTAGTGCTTTGGGTAGGCAGATTCACCTAAATCCTTATTTCGTTTAAGATCTTCTAGGCTAATGTCATTCCAAACTTTCAAGATTATATGTTTTTCTTATAAAAGAAGTGTGTATATTATCATACAAAATTGAAAAATGTGATGGTACTATAAGAGCCATGTTGATTTTGGGATAAAAAAAGTGATGGAGACGAGCTCGCGAGGGTTTTTATAGACAAATACGACTTGCTTTCGACATTAACTTAATCATCATTATTATTATTATCCTTATTCTGTATTTATCTTATTAAGTTGGTTAGGAGAATATTTATATTAATTAGGAGAATATTTTTTTTTCTTGTTTATCAAGTTAGGAGATTTAAGAGATTGGGAACTCTATTTATTCTGATGGTTGGATGGAAAGACAGACAATGAATGTTATGAGAAGAAATCTATTATTGCATGATTTATCAAGAGAATGTTATCTCTTTTATTCCTTTCGTCATTCACGTTTTACCTCAAAAGGCATTATAGAGAAGAATTAAAACATGTCAGGTCTACACCAAATTTACTATTTTTTTCAATCACCAAATTTACTAATAAATAAAGATTAATTGAATGTCAAATATACACGAGTTTTGTTTTCACCTAAAATCATGCCAATTGTGGTACACATGAGACTTAATATTGGAATATGTGAAATTGTAAAGGTGCAATTGGGTACAATTTAGGGGTGATTGTTTATGAATTCTTCTAGTAATTAATTGATTTTTTTTAACTATAGTTAATTTTGAAAAAATTTGGTATGGTTAATTGTTAGTGGATATATTAAAATAATATTTAAAATAAAATAATTAAAGTTGATATGATGTAAAAGTAAGATAAAAATGATTGAAAGTGGTGGTTAGTTAAAATTATGTAAGAGATGAATAGTGAATTAAAGTTGATGTGATGTGTACGAATGATTGGTTGATATTATTTAATTATATTGATAATATTGGAGATAATGGAGTTGAGTTAAAATTGAGTTAAATTTGAGTTTTGATTGCTTTTTTTAGATGAATTGATAAAAAATCACCCTTACTCACTAAATTATTTTCATTGATTGTGGAAAAGTAGTTAGAGAATTAATGATCATTTTAATGTAATTTGAGGTAATATAAAGAATGATAGCCAATTATGAAGTAGTTGAAAAATAATAAAATAACGAATGATAGTTATAAATATATGAGTTAACCAATAATAAATTTTATAGATAAATATACAGTATAACATTGATTGGTACATGAATGATGAATATATACATTTTATAGCTAAATGTATACTAATAATTGATTTTTATTTAAAAAATATACTAAAAAATGAGTGAAGTAAAATGAGAAAAAGTAAAATAAATGAATAATATATTTTTTGTTCGATAAATAAGATAATATATACTTATTTATAAGTTTGCGTATTAGGGGGTGATTGTTTATCAATTCATCTAGAAATTAACTAGTTTTTTTTTTTAACTATAGTTACTTTCAAAAAAAGTTAGTATGGTTAATTGTTAGTGGATATATTAAAATAATATTTAAAATAAAATAATTAAAGTTGATATGATGTAAAAGTAAGAGAAAAATGATTGGAAGTAGTGGTTAGTTAAAATTATGTGAGTGGATGAATAGTGAATTAAAATTGATGTGATGTGTAAGAATAATTTGTTGGTATTAATTAATTATATTAGCAATAATAGAGATAGTGAAGTTGGGTTAAAGTTGAGTTAAATTTAAATTTTGATTGGTTTTTTTTGAATTGGGTTGATAAACAATCACACCCTTAGTTTTTGTATTTCATAATCTCATGTGTCGAAAAATGGTGGTTTGGAGCAATTCATTTAAATTTGGATTTGCATGTTATGAATATTAAAATTATATAACACATAGTCAACTTTAACTATAAAATAACATAATAACTTTTTCTATTTGTTAACAGTTTTTTAATTATAATATATCAAATTAATCGTCTTCCAATAATTTTTGATTTGATATCCATATTGTATATATACAATAGAAAATTATATCTATCTTTATAAGTATAAATTAAATAAAAACAATAATACACCTTTCTAATAGGTATTTAACTGATTTAAAATAAATTCTGTACTTCTTAAATTAAAGTTTTAATCAACTCACTGTAATGCACGAGAGAGTTGTAGCAATAATAGTGTTTTATTCATAAGGTTTTTCTTAAACATGGTGAACAATAAAATTAATAAATAACTCATCAGAAATAAAGTTAGTAGCAGAGCAAGTAGCGCTTTTCTGAAAAAAGAGAATGTTAAAACGGACACTCTTTAAGATAAAAAGTAAATATTTGACGAAACGTAACTGAAAATTTTCTTTGCCAGTACAGATTTTTTTTTTAATTTTTTCTGGACAAGACCTTACGGTCCAATATAAGTGATTTGCGTATCTAAAAAACCAGACACAATATCAAAAAGCATAGGATGCCAGCCCACTCTGTAAATAACGCAGAGAATTAAAATGGCATACCCACCTAAAAATTAACAAAAGAAAAAAATCTTAAAAACAATGAGAAAGTTTAATTAAAAAAAAAATTAGAAAAACCCAAAAAAAAGAGGTTGGCGTGTATTTGTATAAATTATTATGGCACCACTGAGCAATTGGATCTTCTACTCAGTGGAGCTTTTGTCCACCAACCAACCCATATAGATAGTCTTAAATAGCTCCATACAAAATAGAATCTCTCACTCCACACTCTATCTCCTTAAGAAAATTTCACTTGGAAACAAGATTTTGTTTGTAAAGACCCTTTTTTCCCTTCCTTTTAGAAAAAAGAGTATTTTTTTTTTCTTTTGAGAGAGAAGATGTTTGCAGCTGAGAATGGTTTACGGGGTGACCCAAGATTGAAGGCCATTTCTGATTCCATTAGTGTTGTGCCCAATTTTCCTAAACCAGGTAATTTTTTTTTCACAAAAATCCAATCTTTTTGCTCCTTGTTGGTTCAAATTGTGTTTTTCTGTCGCTTCTGTTTCCTGTTTGTTGAAATGTTTGTGTGCATGTCTGTTTTACAATGGGGGAATTAGTTGGATTTTCTTTTTGTTTTGAATAAGTTGTTTGTTTCCTTATCATTTGGGTTTTTTTCAATTCCTTTTTTTTTGTGATTTTGTTTGCAGGGATTATGTTTCAAGACATCACGACCCTTGTCTCAAATCACAAAGCCTTCAAGCATACTGTAGATATCTTTGTCGATAGATACAAGGACATGGGTATCTCTGTTGTTGCTGGTAATGTACTATTTTTCTGAAAAAAATTATAGTTTTGGTGAATTTTTGGCTGAAAAGTGATGATAAATATGATGCACAGACCATTTTTTATAAGTTGCCTCTTTATCTTCTCCAAGATTCTGCACTTTGTCCCTCATAATGACCCAGAAAAGATTATTTGTGTAATAAGAAAAGCTGTCTTGACTGTTCTTGTGAAAGAACCATAATAAGTATATATTTATTTTTCCTCAATCCTAAGCTGTAGGGGGTGAAATTGCATAGAATATATGAAAACAAATTCTTTATATGGTTCCTTTGTGGAATAGTGGTGAGATATGGTCAATCATTCAAAAATATGAAAGTGAAAAACGTAAGAACTAAGAATGATACAATTGTATAATGAGAATAGTTGATGTGATTTTTCATTTTTAACCTTTATTATTGATGGTTGAAAAGGTTTGGTAAAGTGAATGCTGCGTCTTTTCCAAATTTTTACATGTTTGCTTAATTTAAGGATATTGTCGATGTTTGAACAAATTTCTGATTGGTGAATGTTGTTGTAGGAGTTGAAGCCAGAGGTTTCATATTTGCTCCTCCTATTGCATTAGCTATTGGTGCCAAATTCATCCCTCTGCGTAAGCCTGGGAAGCTTCCAGGTAAAATGCTCTGCCTCAACTTTGAAAGTTTCTAATTACAATTTACAGCTTGTGAAGCATGGTTCTGGTCAAAATTCGCCACTTTATACCCAAATTCGAAATCCAAAAGGAACCCCAGAAGCCCTTTTTTCGGTGTAAAGTGGCGAGTCCTTGAACAGAAACACTGATAGGCAATTGAGGTTACTAGTAATATATTTTTCTTTAAAAGAAACCAAAGGGAAATTTATGTTCTTGCTTAACCAGGGGTAACTTCAAACATACAACTGCAGGTGAAGTTAATTAATCCAATTGAATGAAACAATGGATTTTGTATTGTTCAGGTGAAGTTATTTCTGAATCATACGAGCTCGAGTATGGTCATGATTGTTTGCAAATGCATGTGGGAGCTCTTGTAAAAGGAGAACGAGCATTGGTTATTGATGATTTGGTGGCTACGGGTGGGACTTTGTCTGCCGCAATTAAGCTTTTGGGTAAGTTCTTAACGTTGATGTGTTGTGTATTTTGTCATGGAATTTGATCAAAATTGTGTTCACATTTTTTATTTTCGGCCCTTTTTTTTTTTTNAGGTAAGAAAGTGTAGATGCTAAATCTTTTTTCTTTTTTTTTTTCCACGTTATCGTGAAATATTTTTTTTACTTCGATTATAAAGTAAAAACCATTTCTTGTATTCTAGGAGCGGCAAATTTTGAATGGAAAACCACTGTATGTCTTGGTGGAGCCTCGCCAATAGATACTCGATCATTGGTACCTCTCACTTTTTTTTTTGGTTTAATTATTTGTTGGCGGATAGTATCTATTTTTCCCATCGACACTAATTTAATCTTCGCCAATCTGACATTTGAATACCTTTCCCTCCGCTAATTACTTGAGCATTGTACTCTTTTTTGCTGAGATGAAAGGGTGTTTTCTGAAATAAGTTTAAGCCCCTTTCTTCAAGTCAGGTTCGAAACCCGATTTTATCAACTCTTCTGTATAGAAGTTCTGTGGGCAAAATAATGTGCTACCAAAATCTTTATTCAGACAGAATAATCATTTCAATAGCTATTGTTCCTTGATTAAAGATCTCTCTTAACTCTGAGCTCCTTGTTTAGCAATTGTCTGACTTTACAAAATTGCTTTCTTTGCTCATTTGGAGCCTTGGAGGAGAAATTGTGACTGGAAAACATTGAATTTTTAATGTGGAAGGTAAAAAAGCCCCGTGAATTGGTACGAAATGGCAACAGAAAAATCTTCCAATGCAATGCAACTGCAAAATCCGATCCTCCATCCATTCCATTGTTGTCCATCTGCACGTGGACGAATTAGTTAATTAATCCCTACTGGATAAGGAAAAAGAAAAAAGAAAAAAAAAAAAAGAATGTATTGGCATTTTTATAGTTTTTGTGTTTCCCTAGTAGATTAATGTTTTCCTGGTGAATATTTGTGTGATCTTCGTGCCACAATTGTATGAGTTTGTACAATAATGAGAAGTATTGGGTCACATGTGAGTCTTGATTTTGTGAAGCTGTTACTTTCCATTTAAAAATATCTGATCTTTAGCAGGAGGATTGATAGGGCCAGGTGGGGTTACATTTTTTCAAAATTTTGGGAAATTGCTACCCGANAGAGGGCTAAAACTTATTGATACAACTCTTTCCCGGTGGGTCAGATTGCTCAGTTGGCCTTGTTGGGAAGGATGGGCAATACTGAACTGAAAAGCTGAATTAGGATGAAAAAAATAGGTGTTCGATTCTATTTTGTTGATTTCAGAAGTGATAACAGTCGAAATGGGTTGCCGGCATGTAAAAAATAAATGAATAATAAAAACCTTAAAGAAAAAAAAATAAAAGAGAGTGAGAGAGAGTTAAAGAGATCTAAATCAAAATTCAAGACGCAAAAGCTTCAAGCAAACATAGTTACAAGAATAAAACAAATAAAATTGAACTGCAAAATTCACTGGTATAAAATTTTATTATCAAAAAATTTTCATCCAATTCAGCCACATCGATTCACCCATCAACACATTCGATTTCCTCTTCAATAGTCGCCACGTCGACGACCAAGGCCTTATTGGTGAAGGCCTCCGCTTCTCCTTCCTCATCGGCAATCGTTCTTCCTGACGGGAACGCCTTCGGTGATATCCTGTCAATCGCTAGTGCTGAGATCCGCATTTGTCCTCATCGACCCATCTTTCAGCAGAAGTTGGGCTAAGAGTGCAAATTGCGATGCATCTGATTTTAGGGATGGTTGGGGAGTTTCTGCAAGTAGTAAAATTGTAGGTTTAGGTGGGGTACTGTGGGACGCAATTGAGTCTTTTTTCTTTCGGAACGATAAAGATTTTATAAAACACAACAATCTAGAAAACAACTCAAAGCCGAATAAAATGAGTGGATATGTCCGAAGATCGCCTAATATCTACGCTAAAAAAAAATTAGACTACTCACCCACAACCTAAAACAAATAATGGAGAATAAACCTTTCCACACGGGAGACTACTTGCTCCCAGACTGGAAAAAATACAAAACACAACACAAACAACTATTACACAAAACACAAACACAAAACAAACTAAGAGTATACTACGACTAGACTTAGGCCCTTCTCTCAGCCCGATAAACACACAAGAGCAAACGACGACGGCACCCACAGTCGACCACTCCCAACGGACCGGACCACAGCCCGAGAGGCTGCTCTAGAAACTGCTAAACACGCCTAACTGGAACCACAACCCAAGAACCCGACCCTGTGGCAAAAAGGTTGATCACGACACTATTGCCCGAGGAACCCAACTCCCCCACACCATCGTCGTCCCAAACCTACCCACACCACGGCCAAGATTGAAAAACGTCGACAGCCCCCTTGACTCACTAGGGGTAAAAAAGCACATGAGAGAAGGTTCGCAGATTCTCCATCCCGACTGCCACCACCGGCGGCCAGAGCCGCAGCCACCCCCCGAAAATACACCACTACCTGGCACTTGCCACCGCCGCAACACCAGGAAGCCTATGACACTCCTCCCAGGACGACAACCATATTAACGCCGAGAATCGCCTATGTTGCTATCCTCTTCCACTACAACAGACAAACACCAACACCAAATTCGGGGCCCCAACTGCGCAGCCCGGAGTCGCCCGCTGTCAGGAAAACCCGACGCCACGCTAGGGAAGGCTTGAAGAGACGGATTATGGCTGGAGCAGAAAGAGGCTAAGAGTATCTGCAACGATCTGCTTTACTCGATATTAGAATTTACTCTACTCTAGAATAGAGTAAGCTAAAATTCAAGTTTCATCTCCAGTCATTTGCGCTACAGTTTACTCTACATTATATTTATTATTTTTTATTCATTTTTATTTCAAATAAATTATATATATGCATATTTAATTTTATATATATTTTTATTACCAAAATAATAAAATTAGGTTTATGTATAACAACACGAGACTGCTTAATAAAACAATAGGAATACAAATTACATAATAATATAAAAAAAGAACCACTAGAAAAACAAATTACATAATAACATCAATTGCAAAATAAAATTATAATACATCAATAAAATATATAAAATATTTAATATAAAAAATATATTTACTAATATACATTATACATTTACTAATATTACATTTAAACACATAAATATAGTCATATGGTAAATATTAGCATGTTAACATAATTTAATGATTTTATTTGCAAGAATACCGCATAGATTTCAAATCTGATACAATCAAGATAATTCATAATTAACGTAAAAACTTATCACATTCCAATTAATTAATGGGTAAGATTTTTATCTCTCCCACCATCTCGGTAACCGATCTTCTCAACCAAATCAACCAACATCTCCCTCATCTCTCACATGTACCTCTAAAACTGAAAAACCGTCATCTCTCTTCCAAAAACTTCCTTTACACTGAAACTAAAAAATAACTTTTATTCATATAATCGCGATGATGGTGGACGAGCGACGATTTCCAACGACTGAGGAGATACCCGATGGTGGACTCCATCGCCTTCTACCCATCGCACAACTCTCCACCGACCGAGGCGACGCCACTGAAATACGTCCGTCACTGTCGAGCGGTTTTAATGCCGGGGTTATCAATCTCCATGGTTGTTTCTTTTTTTTTTTTTTTTTTTTTTTTTTTTCTTTTTGAAAAACGATAGGGAATTGTCTCAAGTATCGATTTGGGGACTATGGTGTGAGACTTTTTGACGAGGTTTTCAGCTAAGTGTTTCTAGAGTGTTCACGCACATCTTCGCTATATTTGATTCAATCGCTGGACTTCAAGAAATATTTAGGTTCTCATAGGCGGAAAATGAGGATGCAACTAGATTTGTCAATATTTTTTATTCATGTGATGGTTGTAAGATTTGAAATCAGCGGTTTGACTGTATTTTTTATACAATTAGTTTTATACAATATATTTTTCTGTATATGTTCCTGTAATCATAATCGGAAATATATGTTGCGTATACATGCAGTATATATTATGTATATAATGACAAGATTAATTTATCTTCTGTTATGTTGTCTGTATATAATGAGTATATCTTCTGTAAAGTCAGATCGTGTATTTTGTATATATTAAACGAGAAAATATACAGAAAACATATGAGATGTAAATAACACAAAAAATAAACATAAAAGGATTACGAAAAGATAAAATTACCAGGTTTATTTCGTATACTTTTACGGACTTATATGTTTTCTGTATAATTTCTGTATATGGTCTATATATATTTGATCGTTCTGTATATTATGTATATGTTTGCTAGGTGTATATTATGTATATGTTATGTATATATTTGATCAGAATTATACGTGATTGATGGCGCGATTTGATCGTGTATATTTGATCATAATTATACCTGATTTCTTGTCTTGTATTCCTGTATTTTGAGAGAGATAGTACGCTTGAAATTCAAAATATGAACAAGTTATATCCACTTACCTATTTTCTTGCAACTAAATTACTATAGTGAGAGTTATTATAGGAATCTGAATCCCTTTAATATGGGTTTAATTTTTAGCCCAAAATAAAGGCATTCAATTCTATTTAGTATGCATGCTAATAAATTAGGATACCTCGTAAAGTTGCAATATCTTAAAATTCTTGTGGTAAGTTAAAAATTTCGCCAGAATATTTGATTCATTTATCTATTTTTTATTTATTTTTTAACATGCACCAGCCCATCCAATTTGAGATTAGGTGGGATAAAGTGGCCCAAAGTTACCCAGCCCATTCTGTTTCTTAAAAAAAATGTTTTGCTATATAATTTTTGATACTTATGTAATTTTCTTATATCATTTTGCGTGAATTATACTTAATTAACTTTAGTATTACTTACTATATGATACTATATTTAAAAATATAATTATATTTTAACTAGTATAAAATATAACACTTTAGTACCATAACTAACTGAATAATATGGGTGAAATTTATTTTTTATGCATTAATTGAATAGCCCATAATTTCATATTTATATATATTTAAATTATAAAAAGTGGGTCGGTTTTGGAAAAAACCATATTATACCAAAATAGATTTGCAATGACATAATATTATTTATTACTTTGCAGAAAAAAATGAAAATATTAACATATTATATTCGGAAACTATGTTCTTGGTACTAGTTACTAAAGCATTAATCATTATTACTATAATTATAAAAGCAAATTCCAGAGTATTTTCTTTTTTTTTTTTGGTAAAGAAAACGTCAATAATATGGTACCAATTATTCCAGTTTATTATAGGCAATTAGTTTAGTTTCTCAATAGTCCTCCACCGACTTGATTTAGACGTGCCCAATATTGGTTCCCTTCGCCTCCTTATAAATATCCTTCACGCTACAAATTCTTAAAGACCTTCATATACGAGCAATCGAATAATAAGATTCCTCGAACCAAATCGACTCAGTGATGGCTGCTGCTGTCGTTTGTCGCAATCGCAAGAGATCGTTTGTCGATGAAATTCAGCCGGCTTACAAGAAGTCACGGAGCTCGCTGTCGGCCATGGCCTCTCGATTTTCTTACTCGCCGCCGGTTCAGCCTGGTCCACTTGATCAACTTCGGGCTGTTTTTCCTGATACAGAAATTCAGGTGAACATTAATTTTCCCGCCTTTTGTGTGTGTGTGTGTGTGCTGGCTTTTGCTGTTTTAGTATTCTTGTGGTACTAGTTTTTGTCAATAGGAGGAGCTCCGGCCGAAATTCGTTTAATTAACATGGAAATAATTGTACAATTTTTTTGTTGAAAATTTATGAGAACAGAACCTTGTTTGATTACAACTAGCATATTCCTTTGAGTATCTCTGTGCAATCGGTATAATTTAGATGCCCCCAGTCATGAGAAATAGGATGTTCTGTTATTACAAGTCTCGAGTTGAATGAACTAGCATATTCCCATGGTAGTTGCTCGTATTCAGCTGTTGAATCTAATGATAATATATAGTAGCTGATATGTTGTGCTTTTGACGACATTAATCCCATTTATTTTTGGATACTCAAAACATGAGAAGATGCATAATTTTGAAAGCTTTATCACATATTGTGCCTTTTTCCCCTGTATCAGTTGTTAAAAGAAAAACCATGGCCACTTACAATTTTTTCTCAAACACTTTTCAGCCTCTGGAGAGAGCACTGAAAGAGTCCGGCAATGATTTGGGTCTGGCTGTTATGAGAATCCATCTTCATCTCGAACAAGTCAAAGAGAATGCAAATATGGACAATAGTATGATTGATATACATACATCTTATTTCGATATTTATGGCATTTTCTTTTTGCTTCGAAGTCTCTTCTATTGTCACGGAGTCATATTCTAATTTCCATTTTTTTTTTTTTTTTGGNAGAATGGGTTGATTTGATTGTGAAGGAGATGATTGGTGCCACTAACATAGATGACGCAAAAACCAGGACAGCCACCATGTTGGAGACCTTGGTGAAATCCATGAGCTCTCGTGTGAGTGCCCAAGCTGCCGAGGATTTTGGAAAGGTCAGGGGATTCAAATCTTTCAATTAATACAATTTATAAAAAGAACATACTGTATTTACTTTTCTCATTATCAGCATATATGAAGTTGTTCCTTGTGAAATGAATTTATCAAGAGCTGTCCTTTGTGTTAAATGTTGGCTTATATTGGTCCTTTTAGGAAAACTTGATGCTTAAGGAGCGAAACGAAGTACTTGTAAGAGAAAATGTGGTCCTAAAGCGTGCAGTTGGCATCCAGTTTGAGCGCCAGAAGGAGAACGATTTGCAAATCCAAGAATTACACCAATTGAAGCAGTTGGTGGGTCGGTATCAGGAGCAATTGCAAAGTCTTGAGATGAATAACTACGCCTTGAAATTGCATTTGAGCCGAGCTCAGAATAACAATCCCATGCCAGGAAGGATCCATCCAGATGTATTTTAGCAGAGGAATAGCTAAATAGCATGTACTGCCAGCTTTTTCTACAAGTTGTATATGTTTGTAAATAGATCCTCAAATATATTTGATCAACAAACAATTACAAGTTCTTGTGTTATGCAACATAGCCATTGAACGTGTCTGACTAGTCGTACTCCATGAATGAATTTGAATACTTGTACTGTTAAATGATATACTTTTTGTTTATGTTTATTGAAGAATGACATTTTTCAATAAAAGTTCACATTTTTGTAGAAATGATATGCTGGATTAATGGTTAAACCGTCCTCACGAATGATCTAACGTAACAGTATATAAGTTCATGTAGAATTTTAGTATCAGGAAATCTCATAGTTCACGTAAATTTTCAATGTCAGGTAATCTGACTATGAGTACTTAGGAGCATCCCTTGTTGGATATTAGACATACGAACTTAGCGCACGCGCAGCGAAATTTTAAAATTTTCTTATCAACAATGAAGATCCGACTATAGCTATTCGATATGATTCTGGATCGCGTGAATAATTAACGAAAACTTATAGTTGTTCGTCCATGTTCTCGACTTTGGTATCCACGCAATCCAATTTTCTGATATACAATATAACGTCAGTGAATCCCTCCGGTGAAGAAGCTAAGAATCCTCAATCAGAAAGTCAAAAAATGTTTTCTTTCAATCTTGATCTCTCAATCTCTAAGATTTTAGGATCTCTCAAAATTTTTCTCTCTTTCATCGATCCATCGATATATGACTATAAAGAGATAATGAGGTATTTATAATTAGGTCAAACCTAATCATATGGGTTTTAGGAGACTCTAAAGCCCAATAGGTAATTGGACCTAATCCAATTAATAATTTAATTAAGTATAAATTCAATTTAACTTAATTAAATATTTTTCATCAAATAGAAAATAATCTCATTACTCATAAATAAATATTCCCATCTAATTGAATATTTAACACTCTCGATTCACTCTTAGTCGGAAAACTGATTGCATATTGTGTAAACCTATAGGCCTTCATATATTGACATAAATCTAATTTATGATCCTTACGAAACTCTTAGACTGCGTCGAAGAATGAACTCAAAATATGACGTACGTTTACATGGACAAAACAAACAAACCTTTAGTGTAGAATTCAATGGTGATACGGTCTCTTCATTCACGAACCACTCGATTAAGCTTAGGATTTGAACGTGTGTCTATCCAAACAGCTTAATCATTTTATCTCATCTTACAGGTTGACTTTAATCAATTATATTTGAATACCATTTCAAATATAATAACATGCATTGGCCAATGACTTTATCAACTCAGTATAGAGAAAACGAGTGTTCTCTCGAAACTATATTCGAGGAACGAATACCATCTTGGCTCAACTACCAATTCCATGTATATCGTGATTAACCCAACACAAGCCCGTATCTATCCATAAGGGCGTAAGCGTTAGACTATGTCTAAGTTAATCACTCTATACATGAATTGTGTATCGACCTCAAGTCAAAGGACTATTACATACATAAACAAATGGTTTATCGATAGGATATACCAATACTCTCCAAAGTATTCATGTGTCCATCACGAATAACAATTATTCATAATAGTTAGACATACTATATTCTCCAATAATATGATGCAGACCACATGTCAATCTATCGCTAACTCTGTTAAGGACAGTATTAACTCAAAGGAGCAATTAATTAATAAATTACAAACAACCAAACAATTATTTAATTAATTACAATACCATAATTATAATTTAATATAATTATTAATGTGATCATGTATATATGTCCTCAAATGGTTGTCTCTAGGACACATATACCAACAAGTTATACATTATCTATACTGTGT